GATTAACGAGTATATATACTTTGTGGGGACTAAAATGTATATTTCGAGGTGTTACAAACGGAATGACAAACTTAATATACCCTCCATACTATGGTGGAGAGTTTAAAAAAATATATTTATTGCGGCAATAAATATACCGGACCAAGTTTCACCAAATGGAAAAAATCAGTTGATTATGAAAAAATTCAATTTGTATTGATATAAAATAACCGTAAAATCGGATGAAGGTGTATATCGGAGACGTTTAAAAATCTGGACCGATCTGGAAATAATTTGACAGAGGTATTTTTGAGCTCCATAATTAATCTGGTACCAAGGATCATTGTTGTGGAGTCCATATTTCGCATATGAGGGACTTAAAACCTCAATTCGGTTGAAACATATCTGAACCGATTTTGGTCTGAAGTCCCACAATTCACTCCATTTGGGCTGATATTGGTCATTTGGTGCAAAATTAACACGTAATTGGTTGTAGATGCTATATCTAAATTGGATGCTATATCTAAATTTGAACCGATTCTCGCCAATATCAATACGGCACGTCCTCAGGCCAAAAAATTATTGTTTGGAAAATTTAATCTCAATACGATAATGAATGCGACCTGAATTTTGTTCACAAAAATACATGGACAAACGGACTGACATGCATAAATCGACTGTTTTTCTTAGTATATGGAATTAGTATATATGGAATAATCTTTTTGCTAACTTCTTCGTGAACGCCTAAATGATTTTATATAAGTTTTTATACATTTGTGAAAACAAGAATTGTCTTACGTTGGGTGCCACCTGTGTTTGATCGATTTTTATGGAATAATTTTTGCTCTTACTGCACGTTGGGCGCCAAAATGATTTTATACATTTTTTATGTATATTTGAAAAAAAATCTGTCAATTCTTTTAATTACTCATACGTTGTTTACTTACCCCGCAATTGAGTGGTTGTATTATTCCGAGAAATTTTTACATCGGGCACCAAATGGTATGTGATTATTAATTATGGAATAATTTTGCACATACTTCACGTTGGGGGCCAAAATGATTGTAGATATGTTTTTATGCATTTTTTGAAAAAAATATCGATTATATAATTAAAAGTTTTATACTACCTCGGAAAAATAAACAAAACACTTACTTGTGGTGGTGCAAAAACATTCCTACAGATTCACTTACGTTGGGCGCCACACTCTTGTTGATTGGTATTTATGGAATAATTTTTATACTAATTTCACGTTGGGAGCCAAAATGATTTCATATACTAATAAACAAACGTTGTTTTTATAAAAACAACAACAAAGGGATAAAGCCTGACCATTTTGCAACAACAGAATATGATTTTATGAATATAAAAAAATTCTCTCAGAAAAAATTCTTTTAGATACTAAAACATTATTTACTTTTTCTCGGAAAAAAATATACAGACCACTCGAAAATAATGCTGTCTAAAATAATTGTCATTTTATCTACCCACTTTATTACCCAAACAATAACATGTCAACAACCTTTCAGGTGATATCCAAAACGAGATGCCAACATTTAAATATAAATGGTTTTGTGTATCAATATTTTTTCATGTGGACCCAGGCATGAGTGTTTCGTTGTGTAAACAACAATTTTTGCCAAAGCTCTTAAGATTTATGGTTTTGCTATGCTAAAGTTTTTATTCCTTCATCGCCTTCTTCATTTTTTTTTCGTTTTGTTTTTTGTTGCCAATCTTGTGCGAAAACATCCGGGGGATGTAGCAAACAATTTTGTTACAATGAACCCTTTTTCGGTGTTTTTTTTTATATTTCATTGTTCAAAGTTTCAAAATGATAAATGGAAAGCAAATATATTCACATATATTCAATACATACAAATATAAAATGTTTTCATTCCTTGAATATGTAATAAATGGAATATCTTCGTTAATTTTGAAAGACATGTTGGGTCGTAATATGATGTGTTGTGAAATTTTATTTGATATCTGTAAACCGACATCCGAAAAAGACCAAAAAGAAATTTGACCATGACGATTTTTGCTTTGAAACCGAAGTTTGTTAAAAGTTCTAAAATGTTGACTCTGATACAAAATTAAAATTCGTAATGACATAAAAGGTAGGAGCATTATACAATACAGTCTCAAATTACTGGGGACCCGACAAATGCATAAGCATAATGGTGGAGAAAAATCCCGTCCATATCAAACGATATATACCCCGCATATCATTTGATATGGCCAAAATTTGCCTCATCGAAATAATGGTTTGGACAGAATTCCTTCTAGGACACTTCAAGGCGATATTTTTATACCCTCCACCATACATAGTATGGAGGGTATATTAAGTTCATCATTCCGTTTGTAACTCATCGAAATAATCATTTTAGACCCAACCCTTAAACGTCCGTTAAAAGGACAATTATACGTTAATACGTTAAAAGACAATTATCTATATAGGTCCACGATATCATATAGCCCCCATATAACTGTATCCCCGATATTCGGTATTTTGATGATTTTAGCCACATTTTTAACGGAATTCTACACAGGGAATTCTTTGTACTGAAAGAAAATTGCTTTCCGATATTCGGTATTTTCACGGTTTTAGCCACATTTTTCAATGAAATGCCCTAAAAATCCGCACAAGGAGTTTCTTGTGAGTACTTTATCCATTGAAAGAGAATTATCTATATAGGTCCTTCCTTCCGATAGAATTTTTTATTTAGGCCAGACCGAACTTACTGCTTTTTTACTTGCTCGATTTCAATTTAGTCCAAATCCGGAATTTTTCCCAAACTTCATTGGAGCTTGATTAAAATTTACAATAACCCCATATAAGTCACCACAGAAAAGAGATCAAGAAACGGTTTTCTAAATCAAAAAAAAAAATTGTTTTGATTTTTTTATTATTATATCCCTTGTCATTCCGTTTCTAACTCCTCGAAATATTCATAATAGTCTCTACAAAGTACATATACTCTGGATCAGCGTTAAATTCTAAGACGATCTAGCGATGTCTGTATGTCCGTCCGTCTGTTTGTTGTAATCACGCCAATCTTAGCGGTTTTTTTTATTTGTTTGTTTTTTTTACTTTTTTGAATTAGCCAGGATTGATTGTTAAAAATTCCAGGGGGATTTGATAGTACGTGGTTTATAGATAAACCCAATATTTTAAAACAGATTTCGCAACATTTAATATAGATTTTAGAAATTAATAGAGAGCTCTAGATTACCTCAAGAATCATTGGTGTAAAAAACTATTTTAGCTCTTGGTACGTTCTATCGTACTTTCCGTACTAGTTGTTCTTTTGATCACATTTACATATACTATACTAGATTTACTTTACATTGCAAATGTCACATGATATTTTCCGACATTTACAGCTGACATGAAACGATTTACGGCGATTGTTGTTATGTCAAAAAAAAATGACTTGGTGATTATAAATAAATGCCATCGGTGTCATCAATTAAAAATAAATTCCACTTAAATTGGCATTTAATTATAACGCAATTATATGTATTTTCTTTAATTATTGTCATTTTCCTTATGCGTGGTTTTCTGTTTGCAAATATTCCAAAGATATTCCACGATTTTGGTAGGCAAACTGAATGAAACAATAAGGTGGATCCCATGTAGGTTGGATGACCACTCACTCACCGTCCAAAAAAAAAAAAAAAAAAAAAAAAAAAAAAAAAAAATGTCGGAAATAGCATCAAATGTTAGAATATGTCTAGATTTGTTTGAATTAGTTATCTTTGGCACGAATTATGGCCTTCAAACGGCCAATGAAACCGTCACACACTGCCCGAATGTTGCTCTGCGGTATTTTGGCCCATTCCCACCGAAGCGCTTGCTTGAGGTGATCGACACTTTGGTATTTTTTAGTGCCAACCTTGCTTTCCAAAATACTCCAGACACAATAGTCCAACGGATTGGTATCCGGAGATTTTGGTGGCCATTGTGCGCTGGAAATAAAGCGAGGAACCTCATTTTGTAACCGTTCTTGGGTGGCGCGTGCTGAGTCCTGTTGAGTCCTGCCTTGCGTACCCAAGACTTTATAATACCCTCCAGAATATTTTCGCAGTAATATTCGGCATTAATTCTGATGCCACGGTCGATTAATACGAGCGGAGAGCGACCATCGGCTGTTATGGCGGCCCACATCATCACCATGGCGGCGCTTGAGTTCTAGTGGCCAACCGAAGGTGCCCATTTTCGGCTGACCTCTTTGGCAAATAAACACGATCAACGATAATTTTGTTTGTTTACAAACTGTTGGACAACGAATGTTTCTCATCGGTAAAATCAAATTCGCCAGTTCATCACTTTCCGCCAAGCGAAGTAACTCTGTAGCTCCTTTGAGTCTATTTTCTTTTTCAATATTTGCCGAATGGAATATTGCGATATGTTCAGCTCACGAGCCAGTTTTCGGCCACTGCGACGCAGGTTTCGATCAAGTCACTTCTTTCTTTTTCGAACAATTTCTGCTGATGTTGCTGTTTTTTTCTGTCCACTTCCTTGACGTCGGGCTACGCTACCAGTATCACTGTAACGAACGATGGTACAGACACAAATGATTTAAAGATTTTGCTGAAGTGCTCTAACGATAACTACTTGTGGTTTTCCAGCCAAATATGAAGAAATCACGCTTGAATTCCATCACGAAAAAATTGTTTTCTGGATAATTCTCAGCTCCCGCCATTCAAGAACGGTTACAAAATGAGGTTCCTCGCTTCATTTCCAGCGCACAGTGGTCACTAAAATCTCCGGATACCAACCCGTTGGACTATAGTATCTGGAGTATTGTGGAAGGCAAGGTTGACACTTAAAATACCAAGGACTCGATCACCTCAAGCGGGAATGGGCCGAAATGCCACAGAGCAACATTCGGGCAGCTTGTGTCGTTTGAAGGCCATAATTCGTGCCAAAGGTGACCAATTCAAACAGATCTAAACTTATTCTAAAATGTGATACTATTTCCGACTTTTTTGCTTTAATTCAATAAAATTTAAAAAAATAAGCTTGTCTCGAAAGAGAATAAACAAACGATTTTATTCGACGTTAGTTTGAAAAAAATACAAAATCGAAAAATCAAAAGTTGAAAAAAAGTTTCAAAATATTATAAATCTAGAAGTTTAAATTGTATTTAAAATAGTTTTCCTCTATTTACTTTTTTGTTGTTAATAAGAATATATATTTTATTGATAAATAAAACTAATTCATCTATTTTTTAAATGAAACTAAATAAATTATATGCATAGTTCAAATAAATATATATTAAGTGATAATCTTAAATTTTATATTATAATTTAAGTTCGACATGCCTTGTCTAAGTATTTCAGGCTCCTGCTATCTAGTAATTTAGGCCTTTTTCTCCAAAGCAAAATCCGATTTAGAAAACGCAATATTGATGTGTTTAACGTTTATGTTGTATAAAGATTATATTTTAGTCCATAAAGAAATTAATTAACATCATTGCAATCGAGTATATAGTTTTGGTAACTCTTAATCCGGTATTCATGGATAGGGGTAACACCGATCCGATGGTTATGCCATCAGTATTTTGACACAAAATCAACATGTTTAGTAGGGATTTTCGATCCGATGCGGTGAGTTTGTACCAAAGTATATCATTATAACAGGCATCAATGAAACCTTCGTTCTAGAATGAAATTAAGATACAGGCGGATCGAAAAAAAGAAATACTTTGGTTATATATCTTTTAAAGGGCTTTTAAATGAAAAAAAAAATATTTAAAATAAAAAAAAAAAATAATTTGAAAAAAATAAAATGTACTTGAATCCTTCTCCTTTGAAGAACAGACATCATCAGACGGTAATTATAGAAATTTCGGTGGTGAAGACCTAAAGGATCCGTTTGGATCGTTTAGTGTTTATTTCGTGAATGATAACACTTAGCTCATGTCCGATTTGAAAAATAATTAGTTTTATCGTTCCGCTGATTTTGAAAAAAAGAGAAGCGCCTTCAACTCCATAGAAGCACCTTCAGCTCCACAAAAGCGCCTTCAGCTCCATAGAAGCGCTTTCAGCTCAGGGAAATTGTGACATTTTGGGCACAGAAATCCCGTACGCATCAAAAGATAAAAGATCCATTGTTTGATGCGGATTTTGGTCCAGACGCAAATTTAGGTCTTGTTTCTTCGAAAATGAGCAAGGAGTATGCGTTACGTTATCGGCCTATACTGAATAAACTTTTTTCACAAAAACTAACAAAATTGCCACAAACCCGAAACACCAGTCGATTTTCAAACCAGTAAAGAAAGTCCTAAAGTCGGGCGGGGCCGACTTTATGATACCCTACACCACTTTGCTAAATTAGTAGAGCTCCACATAACAATTAAACGATTTTATGGGAGAAATTAATCTTTCACGCTATTATAAATATAATTTAAAGTTCAAAGGACTAAATATGCCGAAGCATTTATGTCTTTTAAATTCGGATTTGTATTGTCCATTTGGTACAAAATTAATTTGAAATCAAATAAAGATATATATGGGATCTATATCCAAATCTGAACCGATCTCGATAAAATTTGGCAAAGATATTTCTGAGCTGTATTTGATATATTTCCCTGAATATCGTTGTTACGGAGTGCATATTACGGCTGTGGGTAACAAATACTACAAATCGGATGAACTATATATATGGGAGCTATAGCTATATCTGAACCGATTGCGATCAAATTTGGCACACTTATTTCCAGGCCTAATTTGGTTGTATGTGCGAAATTTAATACTATTCGGGCAGATATTACATGTTTGGTGCACAATAAAAACCAAATCGGACGAAGATATACATGGGAGCTATATCTAATTTGTACCGATTAACTCCAATTTCAATAGTGCACAATATGGGCCATACAATTGTTGTTTGGAAATGTTAATCTCAATCGGATAATAACCTGCGACCTGCATTTTGTTCACAAGAATACATGGACAGACGGACTGACATGCAGAAATCAACTCAGAATGTGATTCTATGGAGATCCTCAAAAGTAATTATGGGTCTATCTCGTTTCCTTTTGCCTGTTACAAACAAATGCACAAAGACATAATACCCTTACCACTATGTGGTGTAGGGTATAAAAATAACATATAAACATAAAAAGACAGACCCTTCTCTAAATTTGCTTGTTACCCAAAACTGGCGCCCAAATGTGAAAAATGTTATGAATATAAGACTTTTAAACAGAAATACTATTATGTAACTAAAATAAATATTTTTCAATTTTAAAAACATTCAACTAAAAAAAGTTGAAGTTATCAGATTTTCCAACAGATTTTTTATATAATAATACGTATACTTACTGCAATATCAACCATTGTTCCTACGCCACAATACACGAACATCATAACAAAACAGTATAGCAAATAAATGTAACCGCCGGGCCAAGTTCCCAAGAAAATGCAAAACATCGAGCATACTATACCCACCGAATAGGTGCTTATCTGAGTCAAAATGACCCAATAATATGTATCCTGAGTGGTATTGAGAAACCTACAAAGAAGAAATTTTGAGAATAGTTCGGTGAATAATTCAACACATGAGACGAAGTATAATTGTACAACACACAAATTAATTATGTAGAAAATCCAACAGATAATGAATTTAAACCAAAAAATAGAAATATTAGAAGGCCAATTCTCTTTAAAGAATTTTTTAAAATTTTGGGATCAAAATTCCTTGGAATCCATTGTTTGTTGTCAAGGGATTATTTTGACCGAAAATTATAACCCACAAGCAAGTCAAGGAAAGTGGTCTTTTTGGTCCTCTTTTTTAATATATGGAGAAAAACTCCCTTTAGCAGGTCAAAATATTCTACAAAATTATTGGCCACAGAATTCTGTTATGGATTCTAGAAGACGTGAAAAGTCTTAAACTTAAAATACCAGGAATGTTATAAACTTATTTTAGGGTTAAAACAGTACTTATTGTGAATTTATGCAAAAATCTCCCACAAGGCATCATTTCAGAGAGATGACTTCAAGGACACAAATATTTTTCGTCAAATTCTACTATAAGTCAACACAGGATCTGACCATTCCTTCTGGTACCTCCCACACAAAGGGTCAATGTTTTGAATAACCAAAACGTTTATAAAATCCGAAATAAGCATCAGTTTCTCTTTATATTTCACATAAATCATTATTTCTACTACCACAAAATCAGTCGTGCAGATGGGATATATCGGTCCAGTCCTTCTGGTACCTCCTTCATAAAGGATCAAAATTTTGAATATCCGTGAAGTACATTAAAATACAATTAACATTCGATTCCATTCTAGACTTGGTACATCTCAATATTTCCATCAACACAATATATGATCGGACCATTTCTTTTGCTACCTACCCTACATTGGGTTCAAGATTTTGAAAAACAAAACGTCAAAAAAAATAATAATAAACATCCAACTCTCTCCAAATTTTACACATCCAAATATTTCTGCGAACCCCTTCTGTGGACCCTCATCGATGGTGAGGAATAATCATAAAATCGGATGAAGATGTAGATCGAAGCTTAATATATAGAAATCAGAACCGATCCCTCTCGGAATTAAGGTTGGAAGTTCCAAAATTCAGTATATTTGAGCTGATATTTGTCATTTGGCGTATAAAACCCCTGAAATCGGATGAAGCTATATAGGAGCTATAGCTGTATCTGAACCGATTTTTACCAAATTTGATATATATGTTTCAAGGATGAATTCAGTCGGAATTGCCAAAATTCAGTCCATTTGGGCTGATATTAGCCATTTGGTTCTCAATAAACTTGATATCGGACCCTATCTCGATAAAATTTGACAGAGGTATATGTGAGTACATATTACCCCAAATCGGATGAAACATATACATCGGAGCTATGGCCATATCTGAAACGATTTTGACGTACATCTTTCTAGACTGAATTCGGTAGGATGTGTCAAAATTCAGGTCATTTGGACTAATATTGGCAATTTGGATGTATTTTCGAGCAGTGTCTGATGTCCGGTATCAGTAATCCTTGTTGTGGTGTGCAAATAACGCATGTGAGGGACTTCAACACGAAATCGGATGAAACATATATAATGAAGCTATAGCTATGTCTGAACCAATGTTCACTAACATTTGATCTACTTGCTTCTGGGACGAATTCCGCCGCAAGTGCCAAAATTCAGTCCATTTGGACGATATTAACCATTTGGTGCACAGAAAAACCTGAAATCGGATAATGATATATATGGAAGCTATAGCTATATCTGAGCCGATTTTCACCAAACAAGTACTTTAGTTCTGGATGAACTCAGGTGGAAGTGCCAAAATTCCGTCCATTTGGGCTGATACTAGGCACTTGGTGCACAAAAGAACTGAAATCTGATAAGGGTATATATGGGAGCTATATCCTTATCTGATCCGATCTCGATAAAATTTGACTTAGGTATTTTTGAGCTCCATAAGTTATCGGCAACCAAATATAATTCTTGTGGAGTACATACTACGCATTTGAGAGAGTTAAAATCCCAAATCGGATGAAACACATATATGGGAGCTATAGCTTTATAGCGATTTTGACGTACATGCTTCTAATCTAAATTCGGTAGCAAGTGCAAAATTCAGGTCATTTGGACTAATATTGGTCATTTGGTGCACAAATAACCCGAAATCGGTTGATGACATATATGGGAGATGTATCTAAATTTCAACTGAATTTTGAGACACGCCTACCTTAAATATTTCTGATGAAACTGCACTGCATCTTTCAACAGCTCTGAGACATGACGGGAATCTTGCAATTCATCTCCTTCCATGGCCTCATTGATGTCCTTAAATTTGCAACGTAAAATTTCTTTTAAAGTTGGAACTTGAGATATGGGCGTAAAGAAAGCCATATCCCCAGCGTACAGACCAAAACCACCAACCAACAGAAAACAGGCTTGAACCATGAATGTCACATAGAAACCACTAGTTGTCGAAGGATCAATGCCGATTACATCGCCATAGACTATGAGATCGCGTTTCTGGAAAATCACATTAATTGCAGCTGCCACCAAAATTAGGCCACAAATCATCATTACATTTATGACAGCACAAAGTTTCATAAAATACGACAGCAGATGACAACCTTTTTTCAAATGCCGAGCATAGTCGCAGGATTTCAATTCGTATTCCTCGAATATCGAATACACTTCGGTCAGTAGAAAACGAAATTTGTCCTTTTGCCGGATGCTGTTAATTAGTTTGCAGTAACCCTGCAAAAGACATGGATAATATTTAATTATATAATTTTATTTATAATATTCCTCGAGCTATAACCAACCTGCAAAAGAGTTCCCCCGCCAATGGTTAGAACTTGCAAAACAATTGCCCAGTCTCCCTCCTCGACCCATCCACTGTACATGGTATAGCTCAAGAGCAAGATACTAAAATTGATGACGGCCAGTACAAAATAGGTTCGGATATTTACACAATAATTCGGATCAAAGACATCTGCACCGCAAATGTAGCTACAAATTCGGGTTATTCGAACAATTTTTCGTAAGCGATTCGATGGACGATGCAATTTGTTGGCGTTGCGTGAGTCTTCTAAATTCATGTTGCCGACGTTGTTTGACTGCTCCGACCGTGAATGTGACAAGGTCTGAAAGAAATTGCAGGAATGGTCGTCGCATGGCTTGCGAATGCAGGCAATTACTACCACAACTAATTAACTATTGAAGAAATTAATTGCCACTGGCCGGCCGATGCGTTTATAATACCAACATAGGCAAAACATTTCAAACACTGTGAGAAAATATTTTCAGAACCTACGAAATAATTCAAATCAGGGGGTATCTTTATATAATATGGACCTATATTGATTATTTTTTGCATGTAGGATTTCTACATAATAATAACTCAAAGTTTCAAAATTTTGTAAAAAAAAATGAAAAAAGCGACGAAATCGTAAAATTATTTGGACCTTATGTAAAAAATGGTCAGAAATGACCAATTTTTTAAATCAATGGTTCTTGAAGTTATCGAAAGTTCTCTATTAATTTCCAATGTTCTATATTAAATACCAGCCCCGCTACTTCGTCAGCGAAAAGTCCATCTTAACATTTTATACTCGTTTCAACAGTTCATTTTAGTATTCAAAATGGACAATTTGTTCATTATTTATTAGGCAACATTTAATACTTGGTAATAGGTTTTCAGGTGCACCACATTCAAGTTTTTTCTCTATCGAAAAAGAGAATCGAAAAATGATCGCTCTTTGCACAAAAAATCTTCAAAATCTTTCGCTCTGAAGTTTACCAAAGATCATATTAGTTAAAACTTTGCAAAATATGTAATTCCACTTGAAATTTTTCTGACCAAAACTACTTCAACGTCTTTTTATAAAAAGAAAAAGTTCTAGAAATTAAAAGTGTCCTCAATATCAAATTTTAGGATTCAACCTTTATTCATTAACTCCACGACAAATTTGGTACCATTTAGTATTTTTCGAAGAATCATAGTATGTATATTTAAAAGCAGCTTCTCCCAACCATAAACATTAACAGTGACATCCATATCACATTTCTGGATTTCATCTCTAGCACTTTTCGTACAATTACAGAACACATTTCCAAATCCTTCTCCATATCTCAATCCCCGACACCAACAGTGACATAAAAAAAGACCTCAATATCAAATTTAAGGATTTCAGATAATACCATATATAGTAACATTTAGTACTTTTCATATAATTTCGGTACACATTCCCAATATATCCTTCATATCTAAGATTAGAACTGAGAAGTTCAGTTCTATCTCTTTTCCCAATACCAGTTTTAGTACTTATCGTACAATTGTGTTACATATTTCCAAAATCACCTCGATAAATCCCAGATACCAATAGAGAACTCAATATTAAATTTGGGAATCCCTGTCCTATCCCCTCACCCGATACCAATTTTGGTAATATAGTGATCAATTATAGGTCACATATCCAAAACTAGCTCCTTCTCTCAAACACACACATCAACAATGGCAGGATTCCAGCCCTATTCCTTCAACCAATACCCAATTTAGTGCCACTTAGTACTATTTGTACAAATACATGATGCCTTTCCAAACCACTACCAAATTTCAAACCCAATACCATGAGTGATGAAAATATCAAATTTTAGGATTTCAAATCTATTCCTTTACCCTATACCAAATTGAATATCATTTAGTACTTTTCGTACAATTATAGCACACTTTTCTGAAACATCATTCATATGTCCAGGCTACACATGAACAGTGACCCTAATACCAAGTTTCAGATTTAAAGCACTATTTGTCACCCAATACTAAGTTCTACCATTCAATACTTTTCGTACAATTATGGTACACATTTTCAACACCACATCTTTATCAGAAACCTACCACCAACAGGGACTCCACTACAAAATTTCAAAATTTCACCTTCATGCATTAAACTTACTTTCCAAATTTAATTCTCATGCCAAATTTAAAGTTCTTAGTTCTATAAGTTCGCATAATGCCAAATGGTACCTCTTTAGAAGTTTAGTACCATTTTAGAATTTTTTGTATACTTAAAGTTAGAATTTCCAAAAACCCATGGGTACATCTATTCTGCACCTTATCAGTGACTCTCATTCATTTTGTCCAATATAAAATATTTAATTTTTAGTTCATTTTAATATTTTTGGTACGATTTTAATAAAAATTTCCAAAATCCAGCGCTATCTCACGGCCCAGCCTTCAAGATTGTAGCTCCAGCCTGGGCATTGATCCTCTCAGTCAGTTATTTCACCACGAAGCGCTTGCTTGAGGTGATCGACACTTTGGTATTTTTTAGTGCCAACCTTGCTTTCCAAACAACTCCAGACACATTAGTCCAACGGATTGGTATCCGGAGATTTTGGTGGCAATTGTGCGCTGAAAATGAGGCGAGGAACCTCATTTTGTAACCATTCTGGGGGTGGGTGATGAGTGCGATGGTGCTGAGTCCTGTTGGAATGTCCAAGGTCTGCGACCAAAATGTTTGCCTGCTCAAGGCTTTAATACACCCTCCAGAATATTTTCGCGATAATATTCGGGTTTTATTCTGCTGCCACGATCGTTTAATATTAATACGAGTGGAGAGCGACCATCGGCTGTTATGGCGGCCCACACCATCACCATGGCCGGCGCTTGAGTTCTGGTGGCCAGCCGAAGATACGAATTTTCAGCTGACCTCTTGGCAAGTTAACACGATCATTTTGTTTGTTTACAAACAGCTGGACAACGAATGTTTTCTCATCGGAGAAAACCAAATTCGCCAGTTCACCACTTTCGGCCGAGCGAAGCAGCTCTTTAGCGCTTTTGAGTCCATTACCTTTCTGTTGCAGTGTAAGTTCTTCCACTTTTTGGACTATCAATGGCTTTACCCCGAGCTCATTTTTCAATATTTGCCGAATGGAATATTGCGATATGTTCAGCTCAAGAGCCATTTTTCTGCCACTGCGACGCGGGTTCCGATAAAGTCGCTTCTTCACTTTTCGAACCATTTCTGCTGATGTTGCTGTTTTCTTCCGTCGATTTCCTTGACGTCGACGACGATGGTACGAGACACAAAAGATTTATTTACATTTAAATGCTGGAGTGCTTTAACGATAGCCACTTGTGGTTTTCCAGCCAAATTGAGTTCCATCACGCTTGAATTCCATCACGAAAAACTTTTTGCTGCGAAATTCTAATCATAATGCTTTTGTACGCTTGTAAAAAATATAATGAGCTATCACTGGAATAATTTTAATAGCTGTCGGGCGCGTTATTATTATTATTATTATTATTATTATATTATTATTATTATTATTATTATTATTATTATTATTATTATTATTATTATTATTATTATTATTATTATTATTATTATTATTATTATTATTATTATTATTATTATTATTATTATTATTATTATTATTATTATTATTATTATTATTATTATTATTATTATTATTATTATTATTATTATTATTATTATTATTATTATTATTATTATTATTATTATTATTATTATTATTATTATTATTATTATTATTATTATTATTATTATTATTATTATTATTATTATTATTATTATTATTATTATTATTATTATTATTATTATTATTATTATTATTATTATTATTATTATTATTATTATTATTATTATTATTATTATTATTATTATTATTATTATTATTATTATTATTATTATTATTATTATTATTATTATTATTATTATTATTATTATTATTATTATTATTATTATTATTATTATTATTATTATTATTATTATTATTATTATTATTATTATTATTATTATTATTATTATTATTATTATTACTATTATTATTATGTAAGTTCGTTTTGTGTGTTACAACAAGCCAAACACTGTTCTATTAATAGACACAGGCACGGTCGACGAAGGGGTTTTTGTTGTAACACACAAAACGAACTTACATGGTTATGTTACTTCGTTCAGATTGAACGAAAGCATAACAAGTGGAGAAAGATGTAAATGTTTATAAGTGAGGTTGTAAGATTTAGAAGATTTTCCAAAATAATTTTAGTTTTATGTAATTCTTTTGTTCCTCTTCTATTGAGCTTACGATCTCGTCACTTGGGTAAAAAATGTTTTTTGTCATAGAAGTTATTTTTTAAAATAACTTCTGGGGAGAATATCCCAGACAAGAAACAAGGGAACTGATGAGGATTGGTGGCTCTTTCCGAAACCTAGGTATTCCCTGCCTTACCCCCTGGTAAACATTACCATCGTTCTCCACTCATAAACAAACGTTGTTTTTATAAAAACAACAATAATGGGATTTTGCCTGACGATTTTGCAACAACAAAATACTATGTTATCCCAAACAAGCAAGCCAAACACTGTTCTAATAATAATAATAATAATAATAATAATAATAATAATAATAATAATAATAATAATAATAATAATAATAATAATAATAATAATAATAATAATAATAATAATAATAAAAATAATAATAATAATAATAATAATAATAATAATAATAATAATAATAATAATAATAATAATAATAATAATAATAATAATAATAATAATAATAATAATAATAATAATAATAATAATAATAATAATAATAATAATAATAATAATAATAATAATAATAATAATAATAATAATAATAATAATAAAATAATAATAATAATAATAATAATAATAATAATAATAATAATAATAATAATAATAATAATAATAATAATAATAATAATAATAATAATAATGAATTAAATTCCAATATCTTATATTTACCCTTTGCTTATACATTTTAATATTCTGCAAGGTTTATAGAACTTCATAACCTTTTATATTTTTGCAAATAAAATAACTCTAATTTTTAGGTAAATTATCTAAAGCTCTTTGCCTTTGGCCTTTGATGTTTTCTTTTCTTTTTTTTTTGCAATAACAATGCATTATGTATCTTCATACATATATCTATCCATCCACAAAACATGTTGTATGTTCTGCATTGTGGTTGCAACCAACCATAACCATTTTATTTTAAATCGATTTATCAAAACAAACAACAATTGTGTTCACACGTATTGTTTGTTGTATTCTTTGCTCTTTAAATAGTATAAATGTCTGTTTGTGTGTACTCTGTGTTAAATGTTTGTTTTAATT